AAAGAGATGGGAAATAAGGCCCTCAGCCTCCTTCCTTGGGTTGGTGTGTGTCACCTCCAAATAGTTGTTTCTGTCTGTGGCTCTGTGAGAGTGGCTCACCCAACTCTACAGGGGGGTGATCTCCACACTTTCAGGGTTGCAGTTTCAAGTGGGCCTCGGGGTGGGGTGGGAGTGGTAGGGTCAAGAGAACCTTTGGAGAGGAGAAACATGCTCACAAATGCCTCCCTGGTGTGTCCTCTGCCTTCTGTAGGGTCCCTAAAAGTCTACTGAAGTCACCACCCCAGTAACGGGCTCTTCAATCAATTTCATTTTGACCTGTTGTTAGAACCATGACTGGCAAAGCTTGCCTCTTATACCCTGAGGGCTTTGAAAACTTCATCAGAGTCCTTATTAAATTCCGTATTTGGAGGCACCCCAATGGCATCTATAGGAAAAAATCCACAATAGCAGCAACAAAAATAATGCTTAAAAACTTGGCTTTGTGGAGGCTGCCTGCTTTTTTTGAATGTCGACCAGTCTGAGTTTTAGCACTTGCCATGGTTTTAAAACAGCTTCAAAAGAGTGAATAGATTTCAGGGAACACAAGGTTCCTGTTATGCCAATTTATAGCATATGATATAATCAACTGAAAAATGAGAACATATCAGATTGGTGGCATATTCAAATTCATTTGGTTGCTGCAATTTAACAGGGTTTATATTAAATGTGATTGTGCCCAAGACCACATAAAACATAGGAGTTATAAGGAGCAAGATCAAATGTTTTGCTACGTAAGCACCTCAAACTTCACTCGCTTACTGGCTAGGAGGCAAAGGTGGACTCCAAAACCAAATCTCAGTCGCTGCTTAGTCCTGGAGCCGGCAACTGACACATCTTCCTGGCAGCAATTTGTGAACCACGTGAGGCCAACATTCACTCTTTCAAACTGGAGAAACAACAGCACTGGCCCTCCCCGGGCTGGGCCCTTACTCACACTCCCCACAAGCATCCCCGTTCAGCCCATCTTGCTGCTCCCACCGCATGCCAGCCCCACTGGCCTCCTGTTTCTCAAATATGCTAAGCTTATTTCAATTCTTAATTTGCTGTACCCTCTACCCAGGGGGCTTTATCCACTAGTCTTTGCCTAACTTGTGCCTTCTTGTCCTTCATATCGTAAGTCAAATGTCACCTCCGCAAAGAAGTCTTCTCTCACCACCCGGCCAATGCCAGTCTTGTCGTTGTGTTTTGCATAGTGTGCAGCATGTGCAACCATGTGAGCAACAATCTTCCTTGATTATCTCTATCTCAGGCTGCCCACCCCCAATGCAAATGGCAGCTCCATAGCAGCAGGCGCTTTGCTTGTCTTGCTCATTTCTCAGCCCCCATGGCGGGAACAGGGAGACACAGCAGGCTGTCAGCGCAGGCTGGCTGCATTAATGTGTGTGTGCATGAATAAGTGCACATTGGGACATTACTGAGTTCTTGTCACCACTTGTGTTGCTAACGTTGCAGCCTTCACCAACTCCATGGCCACCACTGACACTGTCACTGTCTCCACAGCTCTCTTCTCTTTGCTTGTCTTGGCCAAACAGACAAGGAAAACTCAGAGCTACACTTTCTTTGTCCTTAAAGTGGAAGTACTTGGTGGTTACTTTGATAGTGAGAATCTTAAAATACATGTGAGGTCCAGGAACAAAGTTTTTAAAGGCTTTGCCATAGCTGAAAGAGTTGTCATAATGTTCATGTGTCTACAGCACTTGAGTGCCTACATGCTGCTCACAGATTCGGATTCTCTGGCTTCTTTAGACACAGTTCTAAGAAGCTGACGGTGCTTTCCCCAGATGCACTGCTGGCACCTCCTCCCATCCCTCACACACAGATCTTTCTCCCCCCGCATCCTGCCCTTGGCGCTCTTCTCTCTCCTTACACTCTCGTTTTTTGGATAGTCCCACCTGGCTTCAATGACAATCTCTACAGCGCTCATTCCCAAGTCTCTCTGGCAGCCCTGATACCTAAAGTGCTCCATCCACCTGCTGGGCAGAGAAAGCACCCCAAGTATCCACCTTGAGCCCTCAGACTCGCTGTATCCATGTCGAAACTCCTTCATTTCCCTTCTCTCACACCTCCTCACACCAGTCCGGCGCCCTACGAGCTTATCTCTATTTTTGTGAGAGCCGGCTCAGCCTGGAAGCCTCGAGGTCACATGCTCTCCGGGTGTTCTCCATGTCTTGCTCTCTACGTGTGGTTGGTGGACACCTCCTGTGAATTCTGCTTCCCTAGGAAATCTCAATTCTTGGTGCCATAGCCATTGTTCAGATCTCATTGCCAATCACCTGAAATAATTTTAGCTGCCAACTCCTTGCTCAGAATCCTCAGTGGCTATCTATACCCTATGAAAAATAGTCTTAATTCTACACTCTGCCATTCAAGGGCTTCCACAGCCTAGTGCCACTTTCCGTTCTGATATTATCTCCCCTTTACTCTAACTACAGTGGACTCCTTGCATTTCTTTCAGTAACCCTGAGATTTGTTGCCTGCATGCCTAAAGTGCCTACATGCAATGTTTTTACTGAACATTTACTGAACACCTATTATGTGCTGGGCCTTGTGATTGTGCTCGTACTTCTCCTTTTGCCTGAAAGGCCCTTCTCTTCATCCCCATATTTGCAACCCTGTCATTCTTCAGGAAGCAGCTCAAACACCTCCTCCCCCCAGTGTTCTTGAATAATTCTGGTGTAAGGATGTATTCCTCTTGGGCTGCCTTATTTAGCGTTAACTTTTCATAAAACGAAGAGTTTGCTATTTAATACAGTACTCTGTGCCAGGCAATGTGCCACATGCTTTACACACACAATGCATTTAACCCTGAATGATAGGGGCTGTTACCACTGCTATTCTACAGGACACTGAAGCACAGAGATCAGTAAGACATGCAAGGCCACCCGGCTAGTACGCGACAGCGCTTAGATGTGACCCCAGCACGGGAGTCCGTGTTCTTCACCACTGTACTGTACCACCTCGCACTGTACGTGCCATAAAGCAAGACTAAGAGCAGGGGAGTCCCACCAGTTTGGTAGTTTGTCTACCCGCCCAGCCCCATCACCCCTCCTCACCCAACGCTTGGGAATCAAGCCCCCCCGCGCCCCGCGTGCGCACAGCCCCCGCGCCCGGCCAACTACGGTGACGGTGACGGGTGTCCAGAGACGACCAACAGCAGGCCACGCTGCCCGACGACCCCGAGCCTCAGGGGCCCCCTCCGTGCCCTTGCGGGTAGCAGCTCCCTCCCCGCCTCCCGCCTCCGCCCGGGGGCGGTGAGGGTGCACACGGGCCAGACGCGCCTGCTCGGAGCCCGAGGCCGCTGGGAGCCCTCGGCGCAACAGGCCACAGGGGGAAGGGCGGCGGGAGCCCGGAGGCCGGAGGCGCGGCCCGGCCCATCTGTGGTCCTCGCGCGCCACCTGGCGGCAGAGGCCGCGCACGACCGCAGGAGCACGGGGCCGAAGCCGCGCACGCCCCGACAGCCATTTCGCTTCGTGGACGGTCGCATTACCCATAAGCACGCGATCCAACCTCGTCGCGGAAATGGCGGTGTGCGCAGGCGCACATACGGCGGGCGCGCGCTCGCTGAGACGCGCAGGCGCACGTAGGGTGGTGTCCTGCAGGACCGTGTGCACTCGCTAAGACGCGTGCGGGTCGAGCACGCATATGCGCAGGCGCACGTTCTGCGCCCGCTGCCCGGACCCCTGGAAGGGAAGTGGAGTCTCTGTGTCCACCTCCTGTAATTGCCAATCCAAAATCTCCTTGCCTTCTCACGGAGAATGTCAAAAGTTCTAGCACAGTTGTTCACAGACACTGAATAGACATGTAAATAAACTGATAAGCTATTAAAAAGCTATCTATGCTAGAGCTTCACCCGAGGACTCTATCATATGCAGTCCCATGTTCTCCCTTCAATGTCTTACCCAAGTTAATGACAGGGCTATTTGTATAGACATTTGAGACACCCACCAGTGACCACATCCACCAGATTTTTCTTGACTGGAGCCATCCAGCCTTACGAAGAACTGTAAGCCACAACTCCATGGGAGGTAACCACACTTTGTGATTAAGACCCTATCCACAAGACCCAGTGCAGAATCGGGGTACCAGACTATCGTTGCTCTCCTGTCCCCACCACCAAGCAAACCCTTCCTGGTAATGCCCACAGCAGAGGCAAGTCTCAGTTGAAGCATTAAGTGAAATTTATTGAAAAGAAAGATTTACAGAAACCAGCAGACTGAACAGAAAATGACAGCAGGAACAGGAACCTTTACAGCCACTACAGCTCATAGTCTCCGGCCCTCTCCCCCACCACTGGGGTCTCTCAGGAGGTACCTCAGCCACCCCCACACTGTGGCCTTCCCACCATAGTCTCCCTTCCTGAAGGCCCCACGATGGGACCGTTGCCAGGACACTGGATGCTGGCCATGTCCACCCATTCCAGGGAACCCCCACCCTTCTGGATGGTGTGCTATGACCTACCCAGGACAGTCACAGGATGCTGGAAAACAAAGCAGGGGCACTCGGCTAAGCTGAGGGTACTGAGTCACAATAACAGAAGGGTGGCACAGGACAGCACAGTCCCCCTGGAGCCTCCCACTGTCCCCTCCGTGTCTGGTCCGCATCTTCCTTCCCAGGGTCTGGTGTGCGCTTTCCAGAACAGGAGTGGCCTTCTCAAGGGGATGGTGAATGGGGGTCCTCCTCTCAGGATGCTCAAGAGGCTGGCACCCTTCAGATGGCCCCTCACATGTCCCAGGCCAGTGGGGGTGGCAGACGTGTTCAGGTGCCCCTCACCTAGGCTGGGGCGGTCTCGGGCTGGCCTTGGCATCGGCGGCTGCTGGCCTGTGATTCACCAGGCCAGTCCCAGGTCTCGTTGAGTAGTCTCTGCAGGTCTCCAGTGTCACTACACAAAGAGAGGCAGAACAAAGTCCCACCCCAACAAATCCTCCTCCCCCCTCCCCTCCCCCTCCCCCTCTCTCCTCCTTTTCCTGCTATTTCTTGTCCTGATCTGGAACAAAAGTTTCGCTGCACACCTACTCACAGCAAGTCCTGCTGGGGGGTACTCGGTACCCTCACCTGCCAGGCTGAGCTCAGGCTCTGGCCTGGGGATTATACAGTCTTTGTTCTCCTTGTTTCAATAGCCCTTCCAGGCTGCAGGGGTAGGGAGACTGCCTGCAGGCTGCCACTGGGCTTCCAGGGCCATTGGGTGTTCTGTTCTCACTTGTGCAGGGGCTCAAGGGTGCTGCATTCCTGGGCTCCCCTAGAGCAGGTGTACATGATCCTGCAGATAGGCGGGACCATACACGACCCTCTCTGGGGGCATTACTTCTCTGCGTTGCAGCTCTTTCTCACTGGCTCTGGCTCCTTCTGGAAGAGGTGGTCTCGGGAATGCTTCTCCGGGTCCCAGGTGGCATGGTGGCTGGTTGGCAATCTTAGCTCAGAGCACACAGGGTGCGTGTTTTGGGGTGACCAGGTGACAGGGCTGGTGCTGGAGTTCCCAGTTGTAACTTCTTCAGGTTCTGCCATGTTGGGATCCCCATCCCAGGTTTGGGAACCACATGTGCTGGGTGTCGTAGACCCCTGCTTGTGTTGCCAGCACCTCCCTGATTGGAGTTTGGCTTGGCAGGTAGAGTCCCTGCCAGCTGGTGGAGAGCACAGGGGCTCAGCCCGGACCTGGCTGTCCAGCCCCTGGGCCCCACTCCAATCCCCTGCTGTCTGTGTGGACGGCCCCTTCCACTTGTTAACGTTTTTCTGCTGTTTGCTAGGGGAGGGGGTCCCTGGGTCTCCTGAGCCTTCGCTTCCTAGGGCTTGGGGTGGCTCAAAGCCCCAGCCCCTGTCTCGTTTCCCAACTTCTCTGCTGCTGGCTGAGACGCCTGCTTCACTGGAGGTTGCTTAGCTGTAGGACATGCTGCCTGAGTGGTCCCGGAGGAGCATGGCACTCGCTTGCGCTTCAGTGATGGGGCAGCCCTTTCCTGGCCGGTCTGCGCGCTGACCTCACTCAAGGGCTGTGCCTGCGGGATGGCTTGTGGTGTGGGAACACTGGCTTCTGCTGCCGCCTGCCTGCCGGAGGCCTGGCGGCTCTTCCCACCGTGCTTCTGCTTCTCCTTTTTCATGCTCTTGGTGGTCTCCTGCTCCTCTTCATCCCGGATGAGCTTCATTAACTCCAGAAACGTGGGAGCACAGCCGTGCTGATCCAGGGGCTCCAGCTTGGCCCGGACGGTGGTGGTCATGCAGGCCTGAGCCAGGACGTGTTTTAGACGAATCATGTCTGTGCTCCACACCGACAAGGGGCTGTGCTGTACAGCTTTCTGCAGCAGAGGCTCTGACCGTAGCAAAAAACAAGAGGTTTTCTCTCCAGACTTCTGAGAAGTCTGGAGGAATTTAAACTTCGCGGCTCTGCAGTCCTCTTTATTCCCAAAGATCTGCTTCAGGGCATCCACGCACTGCTCCACTGTCATAGAGTCATTGTTGGCCCGGAGCACCCGCATAATGGACAGAGCAGGACCCCGTAAGCTCTCCACCAGGCGCCGCCTCTTCTCCACCTCAGACACTTGCAACATCTGCATCATCTCAGTGACCTGCTCCAGCCAGACTTCAAAGTCCTCTTCTCCCGGGCCTGGGAAAGCACTTCCTGAAAACACTTTCAGTTTTTGGTGCGACATGCTTTTGTTTAGAGGTTGAAAAACTGGTGGTTTGACATTGGCCAAGCCTCCTGCCTCCATGCCCTCAGTGGGAGTGCTATACCCCAGGGTTCTGGCCACATCTGCCATTGTCCGGCCCTCATCTTTTAGGAAGAAGTGCAGTCTATTGATAAATTCGTCATCTGGATTACGGGGCTTTACCACCACTTCCCAGGCACCTCCCTTTCCCGGTATCTGTCTGGGCAGTGTAGCATAATTGACAGTATCAGCCAATTCGATTAAGACTGCTTTAGCATTGTCTTCCTTCCTGAACATTCTGCCCAGCACCCTGTAGGCACACAGGGGCTGCAAGCTGGCCTTCACAGCCTCTTTAATTTCGGCCTCAGTACACTCCACCGGGATGCCCACAATCAGCAGGGCCTTCCTGGGGTCCAGATCCATTCCCTTGCACCAATCCTCTAACAGTGTCATGGCCATTGTGCCCACTTTCTATGGATTGCTCTAATACTAGGGTCAGTGATCAGCTCACAGAGTTTGACCCTGACTCAAATAATTCCGAGCAATGCCAGATATGAAGAGAGAAGTGTCCACAGCCTGTAAGGCAAATAGAGTGAGAGCATGATTAATGCCCACCCCCCAGAGCCCCTTCTCTGCTCCCACCTCCACTCCCAGGGATCCAGCCCCTGCTCCCAATGGCTTCCCCCATCATTTGGTGAAGGGTTCTCCGCAGGCCAAGCCCCCCCTGCCTCATTCCCTCCCTGATGACCTCCTTCGACCATGGGTTTCTCCTCAAAATCTGAGGGCTCTGCTGTGTGTGCTGCAGGTCAGTGCCAGGAGGCAGGGCCTCACACCTAGGGGTACCAACAAAGTCCTCTAAGTGGCACAGGACAGAAGAATGTCCCACTCTGCAGCTCAGGGTCCTTGGCAGGCTCTTCACCAAGGCAAAGGGCAGAGGAAGGAGATGCAGAGATCCCTGATTTCTTGGAAAATGCCCGACAGATGAGGAAGATGGCCGGAGCCCTGCACAACACAGCGCAACTGGTGGGTGTGGAGAGCACAGGACAAGCTGCAATGTTGCCAAGGATACCAAGAAAAGCGTGGATCATGGGTGTCTATCACAGAAGGGTGTTGTGTGGTAAGATTAAGGCCCTTGAGGCAAGAGGTGATGTTACTAGCCTCTAACCAAGGACGTGTCCTAGCAACAAAGGGGATGGGGAGGGGAGGGTTGGGGGGGTGGACGGCAAGGATGGAGTGCTGAAAAAACGAGAGCTTGCAGTTTCAAACTGTGTGGAAGCTGGAACTGAGGGCAGAGAAGGGACCCAGAAAGGGAGTCCAGAAAGGACTCCAGTGCCACACTGCACGAGACTGACAACTCTCTCCCTAGGTGTGACCCTATTCCGCAGAGCCTGTAAACTCTGGTAGGCAGCCCTCCTCTCCCACTCTTTGCCAGGGTTGCAGAGGCCTCTCCCAAAACAGGCCCTGCTGGCAGTGTGGATGCTGAGATTCCACTGGCACTTACCACTTGGTCTGTCCTTTAGCTCTGTCCACAGTCAGGCAGTTCCTGGACCAAGGCGGTGGGCACTGCTCCACTGGATCTGTCCAAAGCAAGTCAGAAGTATCTTGCTATGGTTCTGCACCATGTACCCATCCTCAGCCTGTGCCAATCCCTAGTCCGCAGAGCTGTCCACGAGTATGCTGGTGCAGTGATATGTGAAACTGTTCGACTGTGGTCCGCTGCTGGAGCAAAATGGATCATTTGGTAAGATTATTGCTCCATCCTGAATTCCACTCCCATTCTCAAACCCCGTCCCCTGCGCCAAAGCCCCACTGCTCCCAACGCCCCACCCCTCTCCCCAAGTCCTGCCTCTACTGAAGCCCAAAATGTCCTCCGAGTCCCACCCCGACCAAGCCCTGTCCCCACCTGAAGTCCCACCCCTGATACCAACCCCACCACCACAGAACCCCAATGCCTGCGCCCAACCAAGTCCTACCCTGCCACCCACACCCATGGGCAACCCGTCCCAAGTCCCATCCCCCACTAAAGCCCATTCCAAACCAAGCCCTACCCCTACCAAAGCCCCAAAGTTGCCCTAGTTCAAGCTATGCCCCACACCTTCCAAAACCCTGTCCCCACCACAGTCCATCTGCCCTCGTTTGCTTGTGCTCCCAACCCTCACCCTAAGCCCCCTCATCCTTTCACACACACCCTACCACCAACACCCCCATATTCTAGAGCAGGAATCCATCTGGTCAGTGGAAGCTGGCAGAGGCCAGGAGAGGAAAGGTCAAAGCCGCTTTCCCTCTAGGAGTTAGGCCCAGAGCCGTTTGTCCTGACTGCAACGGCTCTGGTCAGTATTCAGTGTGAAGTAGGTTCCTAATTCCAGTGCCTGGAAACGGCAGGCTGACGGGCATGATCCAGTGGGATCTCACTTCAGTGACTCAAATGCTGCAGATCTCCTGACTATGTTTGGAGTACCAAGGCTTCAAGTCAGTAATTATTGTTTCAGTATCAGGAGTTGTCATGTCTTCGTGACACATTTATTTTGCTTTATTCGGCATGCAACAGAATGCAACAGAAAAAAACTGAATTAAATTTCTGGTTTTAAAATTTAACACTAAAATTAACTTGAAAATGAACTCAAGGAGCTCCAACAACTTTGTAACCACTCAGAGGAGGCAGTTTCTCTTTGCTCTCCCTATTTTCTGAGCCTCAGGGTCAGAGAGAACGCAGAAAGCTGCTTTGGCAGAGCCCAAGCTGCCCTGTCCCCGGGTGCTGAGGGGGAGCCAGCAAGATAAACAAAAAGCCACCGAATCAGTGCAAAAATGTCTGCTTAGATCCTTGTAAACTGCTACTTGGTGTGGCTCTGAACACCACAGCCTCACATTTTTCCCATTTTTCCCACATTTCCCACATTTCTCACACATTTTTCCCATTGAAAGCCCCAACTTGTTGTGCTTCAGGAGGACACTGGTTCTTTAAAGCACAAACCTGCGACTCTCTCATTTGCCACTAAATTAGTAAACAATTCCTTTTTGTAGCTCTGGAAGGAGGGGGTTCCCCACCCGGGGCACAATCTCTATGAATTCAGAGAGACTAAATAAAGGCAAAAGCAAGAAGCTAGGGATTCAAGAGGGTTACCACATTCATTCTCACAGCTGCAGGTCTCAGTCTCTCCTTGCGTCCGCTGTCCCGGCTCCACACCAAGCTCTCTGCTCCCACGCGCTGGCGTAATTCTCCAGGAGCACTGGGGTTCCGCGGCTCTCTCCCTGCTATCCTGGCAGCATCTCCCTTCCCTTTCCCTAGCACTGGCAGGAGCTCTGTAGGTGGGTCTTTGGTGACGGGCACATGCCTGACCAGTTATGTACCAGGAACTGAGGGGAGGAGAGAGTGGGCGTTTCCTCGCTACCCCTCCCCTGGACAGGTAGGTACTCCTGTGACTGAGCAGCCAATCTGTCCCATGTAAACATCCCATAAATGTGCAAACTTATATATACAACGATTTTTTTTAAGGCTGAGGTGGTGGTGGGGATCCTGGTCAGAAACCCCCATTTTCCCCACACCCCACTCCCCAGGATTCTCACCTCACCATGCACATGCCCACAATCGTCCATGATGATCCCTGTACAAGAAAGCCGGAGCACTGCCATCAGATTCCACAGCAGTAACAGAAGTCACTAATAATACACAAATAATCACACAAGCTATGATACAAATAACAGCAAAAGCGTGACAATCCTCAAGCCTGAGTTCCAGCTGGGTTCAAAGTCCTACACACATTAAGTCCATAGCTCACACACTCCACAGCAGGCCTGCAGCTGAACTGGCAGGGGACTCCAGGCATACTCAGCAAGCAGCAGCTGTGGCTGGGTGGGGGTTCCAAGCCACAAAGACTGTAGAAGAAACTAACCTTAAGGGCTGTACAATACATGTTCTAGTGACACCAGCATAGGCAAATCCTTTCCCTCAGGTAGGGTGTATGCAGGAGAGTAGTCCTGTGATAGGGCAGTGACAGGAATAGGGTCCCATCCCTGTCTAGTATACCAGATCTTTGCCCCTCTCCCTGTGGGGATTACAGAGGAGTCTATGTATAGTACTACTGGAGGTCCATGCACGGGACATAATGCTAAAACAAAGCTCCCCAGTAAAATGCTCTTACCTCCAGCCATTTGGGGTACACTATTGTGATCTTTGGGGGCCACTCTGCCATTATTCCAGGAACACACAGGAGGCCAGCTTCCAGGCCTTGTCCCCAAGGTGCCAGAAAGGTCAGCCGTCACTGGTCCATGTGTTGAAATGTCCAAGGCATTGTAGTCTCCAGGTTGCTGTGGGACCCAGTCACCCAATGCTCTCCTGTCAGGGCTCTTCTGACTTCTTCAAAGATCAAAGGCAGGCCCCACTGATGGGCTACAGCCCACATTGTCTTCTGCCCCAAGGTGGGCTGTCCTGCTAGCCAGTGCACCTGGGCCAATGCAACTGCTTCATTCCCTGGGGAGGTCAATAGCAAATGGCCTGCAAGCTGCTGTCAAAGGCCCAAGCCATAGCTGTCTTCAGACACATACACATCCAGCTCACAGGGCCTTGATGGGTCCATCTCACTCAAGGCTTTCATGGCCTTGACTGCCTGTTTTGCAACAGTGAAGGAGATGCACACATTTCATTCCAGCCCCACCTGATGCCTTTTTGTACCAAATGGCATAAGGGTCACAGAATTTGTGCCAAGTGCAGGATAAATACTCTCCAGTAGCCTACAAGACCCCAAACCTCTTGAAATAATGTCACATTTATCTGTGAGAGAATCAGAGGTGAGCATAACTTCATACACAGTCTTAGATGCCCTATCTCCAAAGGGATTAGGGCTTGTTCCACTCTGACAGCCCTACCCCTGCAAACAGTGGGGGTCCTAGGAAACCACTCAGGGTCACGGTAAATCAGGGAGCATTCAGCTCCTGTGTCCAGCAGGGCCAGGACACACTGCACATTCACTAGGGACTAATTAATTGATCAACATGTGGCCTCTGGTGCCAGAAGCCCTAGTCAGTCCCTGAAGGAAGGTGCCTTGAGCCTCCCCTTAGTCAAACCATAACACCCAATCGTCTTCTGGTAAGGGTCCAGACGGGGTCTGCATACTCTCCTCCGTGAAGTCCTGCAGACACACAGGCCGGACACGTGGCTTTGTCTCTGGTTTCCATTTCTTGGTCACCAGCGACTGGAACTGCTGCTTCAGTTTCAGTTGCTGCCACAGCTCCAGCAAGATCTTATTTCGCTGCCCATCCATGAAGGCCCCTGCCTTTATCAAATCAACCCACATCTGGGTCCTGGAGACCTTCACAGGACCTTTTAGACTCTTTCTCTCAGTAGCAGGTCACACTGTTTTCCATCGCCTCCTTGCTTTTGCCTCTCCAAGATATGCTACGAGTAGCCTCATTTATGGGTTGCCCCAAGAGAGGGGCAAGAATAGCTATTGGGGACCCAAAGAAGGATTGGGGAGTTGTTTGAAGCACCAGATGTTTCATTCACACTGTAACAACTCCTCCTCTGGATCCTGATGTTCTGGGTTATGAACAGCATTCTTCACACCCAACTCCTGTAACACTTGTTGGAGCTCAGCATATGTCTGCCATCTAGCAGGGAAAGATGGCAAATCAGCCTGATCAGGCCATAAGGCCTGGAGCGTGGCCATTAGCCAATCAAGAAGGATGTGGTTTTCTGGGGCCTGATAAGCATTTGTGATCTCTGCTGGAGGACTGGGTGAGTCATCAGGGAAACCAGTTGCCCCATTTCTGACCCAGACAAAAATAACTCCATCCACCCCTAGGTCCCGAAGGTGCAAAAGCAAGGCTGATACAGGATCCAAGGGCTTCTGCTGAAACTAGGAGCTCCAAGCCACCAGCTCAGCCTGGGTATAGGGGTGGGGCATTCCCAACTTGGGGAGGGGCTGCTCCTCTCCCTGGGGAACTGCTGTTGCTGCTGTGTCTTTACTTTCTTAACTACAACCAGGAGGGCTTTCAACAAGGGAGGGGCTGGTGCCTCTGGCAGTGACTCCAGCAGCGAGAGCACAGGCAGCAGTTCTGCCCTCAATCCCACCCTCTTGTCCATCTCTGGCTCCTCCTCCCCTGAAGTCTGTTCCACCATTTGCAGAGTGGAAGTCACCACTCCTTCCTTCACCTTCCCCATGGCATCTTGCAGCCTGCATTCTCTGGTTGCCCCTTCTCATGCCACCAGTACATCCCTCAGCAGCGCTATCTCAGTCTTTAACCTTTTTCCCTCCCTCATAGCATCCCACAACTCATGTTCCTGTCCTGACATTTCCTGCAGAAGTGTGCCTTTCTCCATGGTAACTCTGTCTAATGCTTTGAGAAACATCCAACCCACAGTTTGCGCCACCTCATGGGCATTCAGTTCCCCTAAGGAACCCCCTATTTTGTGGAGGGCCAGCTCCACTGTCTCAGGGGTCCCTCCCCCTCCTAGTTCTGGGGAGGGCTCCTCTCCTCTAGGAGGCACCTCACCGCAGAGCAAATCCCCACTGGAGGATCCCCACCATCCACAGGCGCAGCCTGCTGAAATATCGCACCCAGAAGGACGGCCCTTTGGTTTTACCAAATCCTGCCGACTATGCCAAAATGTAGGAGGAGGGGGTTTCCAGCCCCAGGGCAAGTTATCTATGAATTCAGTAAGACCAAGTAAAGGCAGGGCAAGAAGATGGGGATTAAAGGAGGTTACCACGTTTATTCTCATGGCTACACGTCTCAGTCTCTCCGTGCTCTCTACTGTCCCAGCTGTGCGTGAAGCCCCCTGCTGCCGTGCTCTGGCTTGATTCCCCAGGAGCACTGGGGCTCCAGGACTCTGTCCCTGCTCTCCCAGTGGTGCCCCCCTTCCCCGCCCCTAGCACCAGGAGGAACTCTATGGGCAGGTTTCTGGTGACTGGTACGCCTGACCAATTACATACCTACCGGGAACTGAGGGGAGGAATTTCCTCTCTACCCCTCCCCTAGGCAGGTGCTCCCATGATGGCCCAGCTGCTCTGTCCCTAGTAAACATCACATAGATGTGCAGACAGGCCCTTACATGGCTATGCAATGGGTGCTATTATGGCCAGGAGGGAGTCCTGGTCAGAAATACCCATTTTCCTTTTCTCAAAATGCTGTCATTGTGTTCTGATTTGACTTTGGTGATAAGGACCAGTTTTTAGTAAACAGATTTTGGGAAGCCTGCCTGGAGGGTCTCTGCCCCCGTTGATGTGGGTGCCCTCTCCCACCGGCTTCCAGTTGGCTGCAGCAGTGCCAGGGCTAACCCAGTCACGATGCCAGTGGGGAGGAGGGGACACCCCAGAGAGTGTGAGAGCTCCCACTGGGCCAGCGGCCTCTCTGAGGAGGAGATGGGGAGCCCCAGCAGCCGCCCTTCCCTCTGAGAGGACAGAACTATCGCTGCTTGAATTCTTGGAGGAAAGGAAACATTTGGAGCAGCCGCAGCCCGGCTAGTTCGATAAGTCTCCCAGTGTGCACGCTGAGCCCCTCGCCTCCCACATTGGAGGAGGATTCCTCCCATTAGGCTCTGCGAGGGGCATTTGTGGTGCCAGCTGGCCTGGAGGTCAGGGTTAAAGTAAGACAGGGAATTTTTCAATCTTTTGATTCCCCTTTTGCATTTGGGGAGAATAGTTCCCATTTGATTTGTTGACCTTGGGCTTTTTATTTAAATGTGGTGGTGGGTTCCTTTGGTATGTGTTTTCTTTTTGTTACTTGCCTGTTTGTGCTATTGTGAACCATCTTCCTGTGGAGGGAAATCTTTGATCTGTCCTTGTTGGGTGTAGCTATTTGTGTCATTTGTTATGTGTTTGTCTTGAGAATGGGAGGCAAAGTATCTATACCATCTGAGAGTTCTTTGGGATGTATTCTAGCTGAATGGTCAACTTACAGCTATAAGCCCATGATTAGAGAGAAAATTATCTTTTATTGTAACTGCTTGGTCAATGTATGTGTTTGAATAGGAAGAAAGGTGGCCTTTAAATGGAAGTTTAAGTTATTATAATATTTTGAAATCGGGATTATTTTGTCAAAGGTCTAGTAAACGGGATGAAATTCCCTCTGTGCAAGTTTTTGTGCAGCTCCCCAATAAGAACTCTGCAAAAGCAGGCTCTAAATTCATGGTGCAAAGAATATAGAAGGTACAGGTGTATGAGGATTCCCAAATGCCTGAATAAAAAGTTGATGAGGAAGTTACTAGAATATATCTTATGAACCCCTTTAATCCTGATCTGTCTGGGCCCAGCCACCAGCCTCCCTGCTCATATATCCACCTTTGCCTGTGGAGGAGGCCCCTGTAGGGGAGCAAGTGGCAGCTGTGGCTCCCGAGGACCTGT